CAGCTTCACTTTGGGCGGTTTCCACGCGGAAACCACAACTTCCATTTGCTTCCTTCGCCCCCCGGAAGAAAAAAACAACTGTAGTGATAGATTCCTTTTAAAACCAAGAGGGGAAAATACAAAATATTCGTAAGCAAATAGAAAAAACAACAGAAGAAACAAAAACTTAAGAAACAAATAAAACAACTGGTTGCACTGGCTGCCGTGATTTCAGGTCACGCCCACAGAGCTCGACAAGATTTGCCGGACGCATTAAAACACCCCAAGCTTAAGAAACTCTGTAGGTAAGCCTTCACACTTAAACATGCTAATAAACTCTCCGAAAAGTTCAATAGCAGCTAGTTTGACATAGGGCTGTTGATCATGAGTACGTTCCACGAAGATGTTTAGGAGGTTCTTAAGAATACCCCAAACTTCAATCAGTCCCATTGAAGAGGGGGCGTCCGAATCACTGTTCAATCCGTGCTTTTTGGGGGAATCGACCGGATCTGACCTGTTGGTTGTTCCATGTTTTTCCATTGGTCCATTCTTTGTGGCCCCAAAAGCTGAGTTCAGGTTTCCTGTTGGTTCTTTGGAGGATTGCCCGCCTGGTGCTCTTGTGGGCTCGCTCCTCACTGGAAATCGGCCGAGCTGACCCAGGGGCGGGGGGGGGGGGTTATTTTTGGGGGGATCCCTCACCAAACCGCAGCACGCAAACCAAGGGTCACCTTCCTATGTCTCTTCTGGGTATGGCCGTGAATCGGTATTGGAGCTTCCCAACAGAGCTTTGGTAACATATGGTATCCTGTTGGGAACCAAATCTGGACTGGTAGCCAAATCCGGTGACCAATCTGAAACCTTCTTCTGCGTTTTTGTTTTGCAAATTACGGGTACCTGGTTCTCTTGCCCAAAGTGGGGAGACAAAAGGGTCAAAAGCTCTGGGTATGTGCGATGCTTGCTTTATTCCGTGTACTTTTTTTTTTGGGGGGGGGGTTAAGGGAAACCAACAGAAAGCCTGCCATGGAATGGCCACCCAACCGAGCCACAAGTCGGATCGCACTGAGCTTCCGGCCACCAGCGAGGACCATTCCTCTTCGACCATTGCATCCACTGTCCTGTGGAATCGAGACGCGCGCGCAGAACTACTGCGACCAGCCTTTGGGTGAGAATTTCAATCGGATTTGGACCCCCCAAAATGGCTTCGGTTTGCCTTCAAAGTCACAACAAATGCTGTACCCTCACATTTTCACCGGTTGGACCCTTTGGTAGCATCAACATTAGATGCGGAGTCACGTCCACTAATCACTTTTGAGTTGCATTCCTACCAGATTTCATAGTTGTTTATATTTCTTTGATTCACCTCAGTTGCACCGGGGTCTATATTACATCCCCCCCACAATTCGTGAGGGGCTCGTTCATCCTCATAGCCGCGTAGGCACATCTGCTACCCAGTAGCTCGACCCTTGCTTTGGCCAAGCGGCGAAGTGGTCCTCGCTCGCACATGGATTCGCTCGGGAAGCTCGGTGAAGAAGTCGTCTGATTCGTCCTGCCAGGCACATTTGTTGCCAGCCCCAGTTGCCAACTGCTTGTTCTCTCTCTCTCTCTCTATCTCGCTCTCTTTCCGTCTTTTATTCTAACTTTTGATCAATTACGAGCCGCTCAGCAGCATCACACTCAGGCTGGACTGGCTGGTGCTTGGAAGGATCCAGCCCAATGGAGGGGGGAGGAAATGACGTGACACTTCGCGTCTGACTTAAGAGACGCCGCTTCTTCTGCGCAAATTATCATAATTCACAAACCGAAATATGAAATCAATCCCTATGAAAGAAACTTTTGTCCCAGCTACGTCGTTCTAATTTGCCCAGATTCATGGAAAAATTAAATAGGCTTCTACAAACTTTAGGGAGGTTCCATGTCCATTTTGGTGGAACCCATCTAGCAAATTCACCTTAAACAAACCCCTTTTTGCAGCGCTCTGTTCCCCATCCCCCCGCCCCCCCCTTGAAACTCAAGGCCCAAGTTTTGAAGGAAACTCCGTGCAACTTGGTTGACGTTGGGTTTGGGGAGCAAACATTCTCAAATCTTAGCAGTTAAGTAGTTGGATTTCAACCACTAAACCACAATAAGCAAAAATGTAAAATGTTTCCCAACGACAACCATGACTAACCCCCGCTATTGGCCCCATGTGATTCTAGAGTGGGATAACTGTTTGTTCTACGGGGGATCACGAGTGCGCCCAAAATTGCTACCCAACTGCGCGAAATGCTGGAGCCCGGGAAAATTCCGGCAAGGGTGGCGGACACTAGTGCCTGTAGGCGACGCCTCTTGTCACTTCTGCAGTGTTCCTGTAAAAGGATACTCCAACTCTACCTGCTTTACCGCAAACATTTTCCAAGTGATGATTCATCTGGCCCAAACAAGTAATGACCCTTTAAATGTCCCTGCATTCCCTGAATTTAGAGACAATGCCTCTGCCCACATCTCAGCCATGGCCCAGTGCCAAAATTTGCTGTCCTCCATGGGAGGATTCGCGCAGAAATTGTCCAGGGCGCGCGGCAGCGAAGTGGCCGAACCCTTACCCTGGCAGGGGCCGGCGATCACCTTTTATAGGTCCTCCAGAAGAGAGGTTAGGGTTTAGGGTACCCAGTTTGTTTTTTGTTTTTGTTTTTTCTGTTCCTTTTTAGAATGTAGTCTATTTCAGTGGGGGAACCCTCCCAACCAAAAAAGGGTAAACGGGCACTACTGGGGGACCTATTACCTGTGAGACTCCCCAGCACGCCATGAGCGCAAGCATCTCGTGTCCGGCCTGGAAATCACCGGCCTCCGCGATCCGATCTGCGGCTCGACGCCATGGGTGGAGTGATGCTCGTGTGTGGCTGGCTGATAAGTAGTTAGCTCCCTCAGGCTGGTTTCGCCAAGTGCCGCAATTCGCCGGCCGATCTTTCTAGCCCGTGATCGGTTTGCCTTCTTCCTAAAGCTAGATGCATTGGCTAGACCTCCAAGGTTGGAACATGCATGACTCTTCTGGTCAGGAGGCGTGCCCTTCAGGGCCAAGCAGCTTAGGGACATCATATGCCCGACTCATGGTGCTTTGGATTCCGCCAAAAGCATGCCAACAATCTGCAGCTCACACAACGCAACTTACCATGGACGCTGGCTATTCACTCGCAGACATGCTTGCCTCGTCTTTGCGCCTAGACTTGGCGGTGGCGTCGCAAATCAAGCAGCAGTCACTCAGCTCACATTCAGCTCACAGCACTTTACCAGGAGGTAGGCTCTGTCAGTTGCCTCTTAGGGCCTTAGAAACCCAGAAATAGCATGTTCACCTTTTGGGGCCATGACAAAAAATACCAACATTGGAAAACCCAAAGGTCAAAAGGTCGACTCGCTTTGGGCGACCGAATCTGCATTGCTCCGGTGAATGCACCAAATAGTGCAACTAAACCAACCGCAAACCATGGGGATGAACAGGGTTTCCTTTGTTCCCTTGCAATATTTGGGGAGTCCACCGGTTTGGCGAGTCATGCCAGCGTGGCCTTTGCAAGAGCTGCGGCGTTTTTTGGCCAGTGGCAACAAAACTGAAATGCCAAACCGCCAACATCGCAGCTAGGTCAACAACCAGGAGCCGAGCGGTTCGAAGGGTAGCAACAACATTGGAACCCTTTTTTGGGGTTCACCATTGTTGGTGACGAACCCACAAACAAAACGGGGTGAGGCTGGAATTTTAGAGAAAGACGGCTAGGCAAAGCAGCTGGATACAAAACAAATGTTCGCTCCTCCTTCTCCAGCTTCCGTTGCCCTCTCGGTTAAAAGGGCGAGCCAAGCCTCCATTTGCTCAAGTCCCCAGGAAGCAATGAATGTCTCCAGCTGTGATAGATGAAAGTAACATCCTCAGCATATGAAAGAATAGGTCCTCGCCTGATCGACTCTTCGATCTACATAAACACATAGCTGGTCCTTGATCAGTATTCCCCCCCTTCCGTACGTAGCCTAGGTGACATGCCGCGCCCACGCAATCGGAGCAGATCTGCATAAGCCAGCGGAAACCAACCCCGCTTTGGTCTAAAGCACGTCCGAAAGCAAGTAGCAAGCTAACAGATTGGACATAAGCTCAAAACAACATATATGTGCGCCCCTAAAAGTGAAAAACTGAATTCGCCCCGTGAAAATGTTAGCATCAAGGGCATTGCCAGGTTTGGGTTTGGGCGGTATGAAGGCTAAGTGGTACATAGCCTCCATACCTCCAAAGCCCCTCTCCCTGAAGATGCTGACAGCATCCTCATCCCAGCTGCCCTACCTTGTAGCAGAAGAAGGTTCACATTGCTTTGCAAGGAACCCGCCAAAAAAAAAAGTTTGAGAGGGGTGGCATGCAATGAGCAATTAGGTCAAAGATCTCGGAAGATCTGGAAGTACGGGAAGAACATCAAGGTTTCCAACTTCAACAACTGAGCAAAACTCCAAACAATGGGCCAGGATCAATGGATAACGCCGCTACCAATTGATGAATGAAGACTTGATGGTCCTGCCCATCTGAAACAAATCAGTTGGAGCAAAGGGGTTTGGTCCCTTTGATTAGTTGGATGACACCATTTTTGGTGATTAAGCGAAGCCTTGTCTTTGATTTGCCACTGAGCAAAGAACAATCACGAAGCAACACTGGTTGGACACCTAGGTCCTCCAGTAGAGAGGTTAGAATAAGGGTACCAACCTTTTCTGTAGTCTGTTTTTAGGGAACCCTCCCAACAAAAAAAGCGGTTCAAGAGGGCACCTGGCTGGCGGACCTAGACACTCTTGTGAATCAGGTTGGGGTCTCAGCTGCCCGATAGCAGTCAAGAAAAAAGGGAAACATACTGTAGATGGACGAAATCCTGCACCGCCTGAGAAACCCGGGAATCATGATTCCCTTGCAAATGCCAACCGACAATGGCTTCCTATGGTTTCAAAGCGGTGCAGGAATTTCGTCCATCCACAGTATTTGTATTCAAGCCACCGGATGAGAGCGCAACTTGCGTCCAAGTCGCATGGCGGCAGCAGCAGCCAAGTGGCAGAAGAAGCTGCCTGCGGTTTCCCTATTTCAAGGGTACTTTTTGTCTTCTGTAGTCTATTGTAGTCGGGGAACCCTTCCCCAAAAAAAGGTAAAAGGGCACTACTGGGGGACCTAGCTGTTAACACCGCTCCACAAGGGGCACACTCACCCCATGTGTTGTTTTGATGGTGAGGTTGAAGGGGAAGCAAAAAGCTCTAGGGGGTTGATTCCCCATTCTTTTCAGCCATGGTTCTTTTCAAAAACCGGATCCGTTTCCCTGGGTTTTTGATGATTTCCTAAAAAGATCCGGATCCCCTTGCAACCAACCCCACAATGGGTTACTGAGGCTCAAAGCAACACACACACATATATATATATATATGATCCAGTGTCTATGGTCCCCGGGTCCCCGGCCCCTTCCCTGTGGAATCATGGTGGGCAACATCTATTGCAAGCATCGGGTGCATTTTCGGGGAACCTAACCGGTTGTGTTTTAGGGGTGGTGGGATTCGGCGGATCCTTTTTCATGCTCGAACTTCCGGCCAGGTACCTTGGCAGCTCGTGGCCGATAGAACAGGAAGTGCCTGGGTCGTTAGCTTTCCGAGTCTCTTGAAAACCAACAAGGGGAAACATCTTGGTTGCTGTAACGACCCCTCTGCCAAAAGTTGGAAAAACTTGTTGTGGGTTTAGTGGACAACCCCAACTTGATTTCAACCAAAAAGGTACAGTCTAAAGATCCGTTGGCCAATAGCAGTCAAGAAAAGTCATTTCAGAAAATGCAAAAAAAACCACAGGCATGTCTGTCTCTTCACCACTGAGCAACCAGGGAGCATCGCATTGGCATCTCTGCCCCTCGAATCCGTTTCCGAGTTCGACCGCAAGCGCAGGACCGGCGAGTCTGGCCGTCGGGCCGTCCTTTGGGACGGCCGTTTTGGCCCCTGACACTTTGTCTGGCTTGCCGTCTTTGGACCCTCGCCCGCTTTATGCCACTCCGACTTTCATCGCGCAACCCACGGTCGCCAGTGATCCCGACCGCTGGACTGCCCTGGAGTCAAGTCGCATGATCATGGCATATCATGGCTCACGTGCTCCAACGCACCATCAAAACTCGCCAAGGACCTTTGTAGGGCTGGGAATCGCTTTATCCTGTCCCTCTTTCAAAGCAAATTTGGATACCAGATAGTATTACCCCTTCCTCTTTCAAAGCAAATTTGGATGCCCAACCACCAGATTCCAGATAGCATTACCCCTTCCTCTTTCAAAGCAAATTTGGATGCCCAACCACCAGATTCCAGATAGCATTACCCCTTCCTCTTTCAAAGCAAATTTGGATGCCCAACCACCAGATTCCAGATAGCATTACCCCTTCCTCTTTCAAAGCAAACTTGGATGCACAACCACCAGATTCCAGATAGCATTACCCCTTTTTGGGTATAGCCAACAGGCCGTTCAAACCGTCGCGAGCCGTGAAACCACGGCTTGCCCTTCGAAAGGCAAGCGCCCTTATTCACCCAAACTAGAGCGTCCTTTCACTTCCCGAGTTAAAAGGCCAAACCTTTGGTTCGCCACTAAATCGGACTCCCAAAAGTGACTAAAACCTTTGGTTTGTCACTAAATTGTCTTCCCAAAAGTGACTAAAGTCACCATGAACTCAAAAAGTGAGTCTTTCAACAAGTCAAGACCTGCCGGGATTCATCAAACAGTCATTTTCTTTGCGCGGACCGCGGGTGGCAGTAGGCATGCATTTCACGCCCCCGAGCTGAATTGCGCCGAGATTTCCCGGAGGCGATTGGCTCCGAGACCCGTCCCCCAGCGGTATGTGGCAACTACTGCGGATGGTGCCGCAATCCGCTTCTCGCCACCACTGAAATCACACACCCAAAGGAATGACTTTCGGTTCCCCAACGCAAATGCCAACAAACGGTATGGTTTCAACCACGGTTTTTCAACGCAGGTGCGAAATGGATTTCGTCCATCCACAGTATTGGGAGAACCCTCTTAGACGGCTGTCAGCCTATGGGAAAGAGGGTGGGGTATTCCAGCCCAATTGGCAGGGATAAGGGAGCAGGAAAAAGTAGGAGTTCCATGGGCTCCCCTTAAATCTACCTTTCAGGTTGCTCCGCGCAAGTCTAGACTTGGTCTCTACCGAAAGGACAGAAGGACCAAAGAAAGGGACCTTCACGAGAATGGATAGAACAGCTCGTTTGAAACCACCAAAAAACACTCATGACAAAGAAGGTAGAGAAGCTTAAGAACAGCTTAAGAAAAGCTTAAGGTAAAAACAAAAAAACAAAAACAAAAAAAAGTAGAGAAACTTAAGAAAACAAAATAACGCATGGGGAAACGACATGGATTCCAATTCGGTCAGCTCAAGCACCTGACCTGGACTTGATCAGTTTTTTCTGGGACCTCTGCTAAAAATTGACCAAGGGGAAACCAAAAGATCATTTTAGATCGGCTTGGGGAACAAGTAACTGGGCTGTCCTCAGATCCCGGGCGGGATCAAAGTTTAACTTGTGGGTATGGGGAAACCTAATCCCACCTTTCAACCAACTGAAAACAGAACACCTACGTACCGGCCGAATCCCTGGGGTTCCCAGCAAGGGAAAAGAATAAAAGAAGAAATGCAGGGCATTTGTTCAACCAGAGGGAACCAAAAGCAACACACCCAAGTTGAACCGGACGATTCTCTGGGACTGGTCGGCTTGAGAAACAAGTAGGGAAAAAAAGAAGAAGAAACACCTCTCAACTGGTCGGCTTGAGAAACAAGTAGGGGAAGAAAAAAAACGGGGGAAAAAAAAAAAACACGGGCTCCTCTGGGTCTTGTCTCCACCCATGCATCGGGCTAGCGATACGCCAGCGGCTCTCGTCAGCTCAGGAGGCAACGGGCAACACCAACTTGCTGCCATACCATTTGCCTGGGCGTGTGTTGCAAGCAGAAACGAGGTCCTCCAGATTTGAGAGCTTAGCATATGTTGGTACCAACTCTGGTTTTCTTCTTCTTCTTCTTGTTCTTCCATGTTTTGTTTCTTTTCGGTAGTCGATTTTAGTAGGGGAACCCTTACAACGAAAAAAAAAAAAAAAGGCACTTCTGGAAGACCTAGTAGGTGACCTACGCTGCACACATTGATTCGGGTTTCCCGGGTTTCATGGGCATAAAACCAATGTTTACACCAGTGGAACCCATCGACTTGTCGAAGCACCTAGGACACCCATGGTGCCAACCTTAAAACTCAAAACGGGTCAATCACTTCGAGAAACTGTTGCCCTCGACGAGGGACACCCTCGTTTTGACGGACCCATTTTGATGTGTCTTTGAGGGATTGAGTTGCAACCAGAGGTTCGATGGAAAAAGGCATTGGCTCACCATATTGCAATGGCTTTTTGCAAAAAGAAAACACAGAGCCCATCTTGGAGTTGATCAATTGTTTAGCGTCGGCATTTTCCACTTCAAACAAAAGGCATCAACAACGCTCCTAGGTCTTCTGCCCACAGCACACCTGCGATCCCCCCTTCCATCCACGGTGCCATGAAACCTGGCGTTTCGGGGGGATGTCCCTCTAACAGGGACCAACTCTCTGGTGGGTTCAAACCATGGCAACGTGGACAGGCGGGAAAACCTTGGTCTTAAACCACAACTGAGCTGTCACGTAAGACATACGTCAGACAGGGCTTCCGGGATCCGGCCGAACATCATATTGCTGACCTTTTGGTGCTACATGAAGGCGATTGATAGGAAGGTCTTCCATCTGAAGTGAATATGCTTGATGCTCCCCTGGTGTTGAAGGATGTTGAAGGGCATGGATCACGACAGGAACACATGGAGGACGTCCATGGTTGCAGCCGATTAGAAAGATGAATCGCGCTGGAAGGCACACGGCGTTGCATGCTTGTGCGTTTTACCAACCAGCTGAACCACATAAACTGAGAAAGGCCCCGACTCTTTTTTGATCTAGAAAACGGTTTGGATGTGCTCTTTGTGGATTTTACCTGTTCTTCCCCCTGTAAGTTCTTTTTTAGTACTCTTTTAGTACTATTTTAATATCCTGGCGGTGTGGATCCACAAAAGCCGCATCCAAAGCGTTTCCTGGATGAGAGAGGTGGCCGGGCGGCTCTTGGCATAGTAGTAGAAGAAGTCGCAGTACAGCCCCGTCTGCACCAGGCCGCCAACCCACCCGATCAAGTTGACGTAGTCCTGCGACGTGTTGCACAAAGGCCAGGTCGATGGGGTGTACTTGTTTGAGGGTAGTCTGTTTAAAGGTTGTTTTGAAGGGGCATCAAAAGGAAAATCAAAAGCGACAGCACAGTCTTTCGGGGCCCACATCTTCCCACCAAACAGAACGATTGGGAGAATGTCCAGAAGGAGAAAGAGCGTGACACTGGCAAAGTAAGGAGCTTCAGCTTTGACGCCCCTTTTCTGGCAGTGGACCTGATGGACCCTGAAAAACGGCGGCGGGGATATCCCACACCTGCCACAAGTGAAAGGAACTGGGCTGCCGACAGTTCCCCGCACCTCCGCACGCCCCAGGCAATCTACAGGAAAACAAACCCAACTAGGCAAGAAAACCCGAATCCACCCCCTGCAACAGTAAACCCCTGGCTTACGGAAATGCTCAGATTTTGTGTTTCCACGTACTGTGGATGGTTGAAACGGAAACCCATTTCGATTTATCGTTCAGACACCCAACGGAATGAGTCGATTCCCCTGTAAATACCAACATTCGATTCCCCTGTAAATACCAACGAACAAAGGTTTCAACCACGGGTGTGAAATTTCATAGGGGGCCCTCTGGTGTTTTACGTCGACCAACCATTTGGGAGGGAGTTCCAACCATTGAAATTCATAGCCATGTGCGAGAATGGCCCCCCAAAACCTCACCCGAACGGCGGCTTCTTCTCACCTCCGCGAAGTAGCGGTAGATCCAATTCAAGATATAGAAGGCGCCTCAATCTCAACATCGTGCGGTTTGCACCAACACGTGTTAGACAAAACTTGGACCCCCCGAACAGGGGTCGCTGGAATTCCCCTTCA